TTATCGTCCTTATTGTTTTTTCATAGTCTCCGTTCTACCATAAGATTTTTACGGCCCGTATGTTTCTTTAAATCACTTTACTAGAGTAGCCATTGCCGAGGAATATCCTCGTCAATCTCTGAGCTCCTCATATCAGAATTCTACATTAGTTAACCGTAATATTCGGATAAGCATGCTCCTTATTATTCCTATATTTAGCCTGTAATTGGGATGGGACGGGAAATTATGTTTTATCCTAGCATAAGACTTCTTTCTAAGCAATTTCTTCCTTAGCGTACCATTAGAGCGAATTGACTGGTATATTCCTCGGCAGTGGCTCCCCAAGCAAAGTGGTACAAAGAAACATACTGGCTGTAAGAAGCTGATGACAGAATAAGTACTATGACAGAACAAGTTTAATCCACTTCTATAAATCAAAAAGAGACTGCGATCATACCGGAGGTCACGACATTTTTGTCTTCATATTTTTCGATTAGACAAATTTTAGTTTATTTTACCAGCAAAGTAACAAAGTTAACGTGGTTGCTTCAATTTTATTTTAATCTTCTTGGCAATTTCTGCGTTATTTTGGTTTTTAAAAACATGTAAGATTGTAAAGCTGTCTCCACATTGGCGATCTTCTATACGCAATAAATCTCTAAACTTCTGAATCTGAAACAAAGTATAGTGACACTCAAATTATCTTATCCAATTTGGACAAAATGATTTATGAAGCAGTTTAACCTCATTTTTCTTATCCAGGTTTCAAACTATAGTACGTGAAATATCATGTTTCTAAGTTTTATATAAGAAAAACTCTGGATAAAATCATGCATATGGGATAATAAGAGTAAAGCAATGTAAATGAATAAACTTGATAGTAATATTAAAATTAAAATTAAAAAATTAGCCTAGCTTGGTTTACTTGTCCCTAAAAAGCTATAAAAGACCAAATCGATCTTGATGCATTGTTTATTTAAATAGGTTATCATGAAAATTTTCATGAATCAGATATTTTATATATAAACTAAAGATTATTTGTTTTTTGCAATATTTAAACTACTATTAAAATTTTTAATTATAAAAATACAAATATATTGTATTAAAAACACTACGCTTTCTTTCTGTAAGATATGTTTGTTTTGCTCTATAGTGTAAACGGTGGTAGCGATAAGCAACCGCGCCTTCTATGTGATGAATACGTGATTTCATAAAGCCATAATTATATACATTTACTACCAACTCTTTATTTTGCAAAAAATATGGATTCCAACTCAATTAAAGATTTGGCAACTTTACAAATAAGAAACGAGCTAATTGAGCAAAAGGTAGATAAATAGATTTGTCGCATTTGTACTTGCAGAAGTTTAATGCCCAAATGCTGAATCTATATTGTTATAATCATTTTTTAAACGATACTGCACAGTATTTTTTATTTATTATTATGTGATTTACTATAGTATTATGCCATATATAGCAACTAATCAAAATATTTAATCATTACTAGTATATAAAAAATAGAATACATATATATTATTAGTTATTGTTATAATTTTTATTTTTATTATTGTCAATATAATTTATATGCTATTAAGCATTAAATTAATGCACTTTTTAAATAATATGGATCTTTCTACTATTATTTTGTTTGTTAAAACATTTATATCAAGTTATTTTATGCATGTAACAGCTTTTCCAAGCCGATCATGAGGTGCAAAAGTGGAAAGAAGAGGCACGCGTTTCAAAGAGGCAACTTGAACTTATAGAATCTGAATTAGCAGATTTGCGCATTTCTGCTAAACATTTACGTGATCGTATCGTCCAGCTTGAATCCGAAGGGGAGGTTTTCAATTCGCTGAAAAACCGGAATGAAGTTGCAGTTTCAGGCCTCACTCAAGTTGCTCGTGAGGCACAAGATCGTGTTGCACATTTAGAGGCTAGGCTTAGGTGAGCTGTTAATACAACTTGATTTCAAGTGTTTCTTAATCTAAGCATTGTTTAGTCTTAACTTTCCATTATGAATTAAATTATTTAGTCATGTTATCCTAATGGATTTGACCATTATTTATTTACCATTTAAGCTCCGTTTATGTATAAGAATTTTGTAATGCTCACGCACTAGTGTAATCGGCTTAATAGCTACATGTGGAGATATAGTATCTGCTAACTAGTCGTGATTATCCGTTATTGTTTTAAAAGTCGCCACCTTTTACTTAACGAACCAATCTATTACTTTGTTTTCGTTATGCCTTTTGAAAAAATATATAACACTCATTATAGGGCAGTCAACTTTTATTTATATCCTGCCTAATAATAAGAAATATCTATAATTGCAGTATAAAGGTATTTTTTATACTTTTTGTAATAGTCTTGAGTGTAAATAGGTTCACAACGAAAAATTTATTTATTGAATCCTTAAAGATAACTTATGATAACTGTATCAGCCATGAATTTTCAAATATTTTTTGGAATCTAATTTGATTTACATTTTAATCTAGCATAACATGTCAGTTTGCTTTTAAAATTTATT